GATCACACCCAGTAATAGTTCAACACTTGTGTTAGCAAACAATGTGAGGATTAAAGGCACCATCTTTGGATTTGACTTATGTTCCAGGAACTCCATATTAAAACAAAAATGAAAACGTAAGACCAAAAAAAAAAAAACACCTTTGTGTTATTGGGTAATTGATTTTTTTTAGCTTTCAAAGTAGATAAAATCAACACTTTAAAAGACTTGTCTTTAACCCAGGCTTTCTTTTATTAAAGTGTACAATTGCGGGTACATGCCTAGAGGAATAATAGTTTGTTCCTAACAAAAGAGTCTGGATTCCACAATCTGCCTTTTGCCAGAGGCATCGTTCCCCAAAGCACACAGCTAACTGCATCTCCTGCTGTACCTGTAACAGTTTAATTGTATAAGTCAGCCTAGTCAAGCATCTCCAGCTCATGACTGGGAGACATGAAATTCATTGTCATTATTGTCCCTGTCATTTTGGATCATTATATCCTGCTGCAGAATTTTCCTCACTTCAGTGCATTTTTACCTCCAGGAGCCAGGGATTATAACTGAGGTTGGGGTGGGGGCAGGACCGTGAACTACATTTACCTCAGGGGAGCCAGAGATTAAATTGGCTTTGCTCTCTCACGAGCTGAATTCATCTATTTGTATGCTGTGAGTTGTAGGTTGGAATAAAAATGAATATTCTAGTGAAACCCGGGCTTTAATTTCCCCTTTGAAACATGGCTGTAACCAACTTTTATTTACATTAGGAAAGCCAGTGTAATTTCTCGAAGGCTGCTATCTTCCGATGTGCATGAGGAACACTTAAGGGCGTCACCGGGTATGAAGTAACAGGCATCTCTCTCTGTCACTACCTGGGCTCTCAGAAGGAAGAATTTAAAGCTGTAATTTTGCTCTCCAATTTCATCTTACAGAAGCTTAATGGGGGTATCTAATGGTTTTAAATATTTAATGATTTTTAATTGTATCTCATTTTCTGTGCATGATTTGGATGACTGAAGTCCAACTAGAATGGCACCACAGATCTTCTCTGGGAGCAGGGAGATTGGAGCAAAGTTGACAGAGGAAGAGGAAGCAAGCTTCTGAGGACACTGGCTCTCCCTCCACAGCCGGCTCACATAACCTCAGAGCCCGCCAAGCCACCCAAGCCCGTCACACCTTAACTACTTCTTGTTGACGTGGGAGAGTTGCACCAGGCCCCGCACTCGCGACCTGGAAACCCCCTTATCAGTGGCAACGGGCAAGGACAGGGTCCAGCTGCTGGCTCTCTGGTAGCAGACGGTGAGGAGCAGAGAGGAAACACCGGGACATGTCTCAGTCAGAGAACAGTGCGGTGACTATACGTTTTCTCTAATAGATTATAAAATGAAAACATAACTTGGTATGTCACCTCCTATCCCAACTTTCATCTCCTATGGATTTTACTGAGAGATTTGACATTTACTTTGTCTATCCTGAAAAAGATAATCACTCCTCCACATATGTGAGTTTGTTTTCCAGTGGTTAATACCAAAATATGGGAATGGCTCATACCTATGCCAAGCACAGAATAGCCACTATAATTACTTTATTTAAAAGTATGAGGTCAAAGGCACAAACTTCCAGTTACAAGATAAATAAGTTCTGGGGATGTAATGTACAGCATGATGACTATAGTTAATAATACTGTGTTGTATACTCGAAAGTTGCTAAAAGCCCTCATCACAAGAAAAAAAAGCATATAATAACTATGTATGGTGATAGATGTTAACTAGACTTATTGTGGTGATCATTTTGCAACATACACAAATATTGAATCATTGTGTTGTACACCTGAAACCAACATAATGTCATATGTCAATTATACCTCAATTAAGAAAAGATAAAAAGAAAAAAAGCAGGTGGAATTTATTTTACTACCTTTATGGACTTCTGTGGAGGAAAAGATTTTGCCTTAATCATGTGCAATGGTCGTCACTATTTATTTAGGATGAGCTGTTTGCATGAGTAATTAAGAACAATTTTTTAACCTTTGTACATTTTGTGCTTCAGAGGGAATACCTCACAGCCCTAACATCTCAGTCTTGAAAGAATCTTAAAGATTCTCTCAGGTACTGGTCCATCCATCTTTTTTTTTAATATGGAATGCTTCATGAATTTGCATGTCATCCTTGTGCAGGGGCCATGCTAATCTTTTCTGTATTGTTCCAATTTTAGCATATATGCTGCCAAAGTGAGAACCTATCCATCTTAATAGTGATGTTTACTAGTCTGACTGTATTTTCACACCGTTACATTTAGCTTTTCACTGGTGTTTAAGTAACTGTGTGATGTATTACTAATAAGAGTATTCAGTAAGCAAAACTTCTTGTAGCTTTTAAAAGTTCATTAATTACTTGCACCACTTTTTCATTATAATCAAGATTCTCCCAAGGTGGGAGTTATAAAAATTGTTATTTCTGTTCACTTTAAAATGGTTAATTTTATGTTATGTGAATTTCAACTCAAAAATTTATTTTTTATGTTAAAAAAATTACTTCAAGCAGCCAAATGCATTTCGAAATCATTTGGGTGACTGTTATTACAGTCTCATAATGATTATTTAAGAAGAAGAGTATTTTTTGTTGTTGCTGCTAAGAAAGGTTTATCTTATAAATTACAGCGTAAACAGTTGCAGGCTTCAGTTGCAATGGTATATGTTTAGGAAGTATTTTTTCCTCTCTGAAATACTTGGTAGCAAGATGATAATGTTATTTTTCTGGTCAAGGGGTAAGTCATCCCTTCCTTCCTCTGAGCACGAATTTATTGCATTTAATTCCTTTACTCTATGCTCCTTTCTACCTTATTTCCATGTTGGTATTTATTTGCTCATCACATCATTAGGTATCACAAGAGTTGGCCAGTCTGTAAATATAGCTGTGAAACCAGAGAACTAAACTGTATTTCACATTCTTGTTTGTTTTGCATCAAGCATGACATAGTTGGGCCTGCATCATTTCAGAACAAGGTTAAAAAAGAAATTATTTATTTTCAGTGACTAGAATTATTTTTATTCCTTCTAGACATAGGTTTCACAATCAATTTTCAAATATCATTTTGAAATTATTTTAGATAATAAGTTTAAAAATTTTCAATAATCTTGGCTAAATTCATAATTTTGCAACCTGTAACAAGCCATAACAAGCCATACTATCCAACTCTAGACTAAAGAAATTCTTGTTCCCCTTGATCCTAGTAGGATAATATTTCTTCTGCATTTTATGACATAGATTTCCCTTGGTTTCTCCAGGGATTGATAGAATCTATAGAATCGATAAGAATCTATAATTCATAACAATATCAAACCAACATAAGACAGGATGTCACAAGTTCAGATATCACATCCACTAATATTCCTCTTAAGGAGATTCAAATATGCACAAGCTAAAAAAATAAATAAAAGTGAAAAATAAAAGTAATTAGTGTTCAGTATATCACATGGATTAGAGAAAATGGCCAAGTACTTGACAGAGTTTGCATGGGAAGGATTAAAATTAAAAGGCAAAGGGCACAAACACTTCCATGTCAGGAAAGGCAGGGGGCCATTTGCAGAATGCTTTCTTACTCCTTCTGGACCAAAAACCTCTTTAATATAATCACCCAACAAACTACAATGGATGAATGTTAAGGGCCTGAAGCAGAGAAAGAAAATTCACAGGAAGATTGTCCTTTCACATGCAGGCTCAATCAAGGGCACCAAAAAAGTAGTTAAGTGCCTCCCCTGTGGCGTTTAGATGCTGGAAGGCACTGTAAACTGTGAATTTTCTAGCTTTTAATGTTTGTCTAAGACCCTTAACATTTTTCTAATATTGTTGCTCCTAACACATCTTCTTGAGTTAGTCCCCATTGTCCCATCCACACATACACACTTTGCATTCATATATGAAAGCCTGACAGCTAAACTGATTCAGGACCTAACACTAAGAAGAAAGAAATGGGGTGGTAGACTTAAGGATATCCCTTATTATGAAGTATAAATACCAACGTCTCCTGGAAAAGCAAAAAACAAATAAAATTTCTTCATGCTAAGAGTTAGATATCTAACACTAATTATAAAAGATCACATAATGGGGGTCAAAAAAAACAAAAACAAAGCCTCACTGACCTGTAGATCCTAGGCTGTCCTTTGTGTCACAAAATTTCTAAGACTTTTAGAGCACACCCAATTATCTGTGTCCAGATATTTCCTTATAGACATCTTTGGACTATTTTCCAATTCCATTCACCCTTTAAAACTATAGTAAAAGTTGACAAACAGTGTTTCCTGTGTCACTGTGTATTGTATTGCGGTCCATCTGGAGATACATTAAGTGGTTGGTTCCCTCAAATAAATGTGTACAAAATTATACTGTTCACACACACACACAAAGAATGAACACTGAACATGTGACAAATGGGTACTAGATAATGTCACTGTTAGAAAAACATCTAACAACAATAAGCAATAAAAACTGAGAATTTGGTTTAACAGATGCAACATTCATCCAACTTCATCACATAAATTATATGTTCAAGAATTGTATCCTGTGCAAAATACAAACATATCAATTGCAGCCCAGGGGGCATTTTTCTCTAGGTTTATAACCCCTTGAAAATAGAGGTTTCATCTAGAAAACCTAACAGATCCTCAGCTGCTTTCAACATTATAATATGTTCATAAGGCAAGTACTCACTGGCAAACATATACCAAAATAAATGGCACGAAGGTGGGGTCCAAATCACAATAATGGGAAACAGACCAAAGCAACCATGAGACACAAATTTGAAATCAAAGAAGAAAAGGAATGTACAAAAACAGACAATACTGAAAGCAAAGCACTGTGTGGATTTTTTCAGCTTGTATTAAGGGAAATGGTGAACGTGTGTGTGCATGTGTTTGTGTGTTGTGTAAGATTAGCATTAATTAGAGTGCAAAACTATCTCATTAAGAATATACTGTAAGGGTCATGAGTGAGAGAAAAGTATCTTTTAAAAAAAAAACCACATACCATCATAGTAGACAATTGCTCCTACCAGTCTGTCCTTCTGGAGCATTGGGAAATGCTCAAGGGCTCTTGATTTGCTGAGGACATAACTGCTTTTCAGGCAATTACTTCCAGCAACCAGATCATATAGCTTGATTCCTACCCAGTAGTAAGGTAACTGCCACCACCTACAGCATAAATAGAGGAAATGAAACAGAGTGTAACATTACAGAATGTCCCTTTAAGTTATAAGATACGTTTTATTAAGAAAAGGAACGTATATCTAATAGTGTCCTGCAAAAGGAACAAGAAAAGTGCCTGACTATTCTGACACCAGCCCTACTGGATTATGGATTATTACGTAAACGAATCATCTCTAAGCAGTGAGTCTCCTGACTGCATATTAGAATTTTCCGGGGAGTGTCAATAATAAATGTAGGTGCCTGGGTCTCATGTTGCTAGAGATCAATTTAACTAGACTAGGACAAGGACCGGGGTGACTCTAATGTACACCCAGGGTAGAAAATCATTGGCTTAAGATGTCCTAAGTAATCTATGACAAAATATAGATAAAAATGGCAAAATCTGTTTCTAGGCCCCCACAACACTCATGCAGCTAACAGTTACATGATCCACTTCTCCTTATTGCCTGCACTCTAAAGTCAGCTTCACAGATAGCTCTAACAACATTCAGAAAATTGGGCTTAATAATTTATAATCTGACACCTCCAAACTAAATTTCAGTTTTGGCTAGCTCAGAAATTTAAAATGAAACAAAATGGCTTGGGTTTGGAGTTGCTATGTGTCAGGTTCTGATTTTGCAGGAGATTCTTTCCAGCTCTGCATTTCAGTCTGCAAATGACCCTCTTCTGTTCCCCAGGGCACATGGAGTTGCTCGTCTGTGGACTCCCAGAAACTGAAGTATGAAACTACTAATTACACATACAGAACATAGCCTCCTTTGCCTTTAAGATCTAACCCTTAGAGGTGGGTCAGCAGAGAGTAATTCAGGAACCGTCTCACTTTTAAATACAACAAAGGAAAATATTTTAAAAGGATTAAAGATTAGGACCAATTAAAACTACATTAAGAAATACACACTGAGGAACTATTTCCATTAACAGTGTGTTGTTCTATCGACCTCAGATAAGCTAGTATATAGATGATACCAAAAGGCTTACTTGTAAATTGGAAGCATTATAGGCAACGGAGCTGATAAATGGGGAGCAATTTCTAGTAGGTTGGCACGCTCATGAAGGGCTTCTTTTACCAACCTGTACTGAAAAGCAAAACAGAGAAAATTAGTTTGGCAGTAACAGATCATAATATTTTCAAATGGCAAATAGACACCCTGCCACCTGATTGATACACAGAAACCTCTCTACCTCTGAGCGAGGATCGCTCCCTCCTAATCAGATTTCTAATAATACATCATGCTGTCAACCTGAAAGATTTTTTAGAAACCTTAACTGTATTTGCATAGGAGAAAAACATGCTGTCAGAGTTCCCAGGTGTAAGATATTTTCCTGACTTGAGTTACAAGATTATTGTAACAATTTATCTTGCATTCTCTGCATTGTCCCTTTTCTCAGTCCCCCATAATATTTTCTCATGTAAGAGATAACAGATTGTTCAAATCCATGTTAAACATTTCCTTCTTGCCTCCACTAGCCCAACGAGAGATGATACTTAGGAGTTGCACAGCATTTTATAGATTATCATTAAAAAGCTGCTGTCTTTACTCTTCTAGTCCATATCATCACCCCTCCTCTGAAGACCCGGCATCACTATCACCATGCTAATTTTACAAACGAGAAAACTGAGGCTCATAGAAATTGAATAAATATAAGCTGAAACACATCACAAGTCATCTGATTCCAAACCCCATGCTCTTTTCTTTACGTCCATCATGATGCCAAACAGACACAAGAGGACAGATTCAAAACTGACAATGTCAAGTTAGCGTTGCTGTGTTTTCCATGTACGAAAAGCAGATAAGGAGTTCAGCTGAGTTTTCTTTTTTTTTTCACCCCTCTGGGAAATGTCATCTTCCACACTGTCTTGGCAGTTTTCAAATGGTGGCAGACTGGACACAACAAAGTGTGACATAAAAAAAAAGCATGACTCAGATCATCTTTTCCTTAAGAATATGTCAGTGACAATATTCAGTAGGATTGCATATCCAGTGAAGAGGATCAGTTTAATACTCCTCATGTATTACAACACAGCTCTGCTGAAACCGCTTGGGAAATAGCAATTTAGTGGCCATTGGCCAAAACAAAAACAAAACCAATCACAATTGTTCAAAGGTAACACAATCAAAAGCGATTTTGTAAATCTGCTACATTGACATGCCTGTGTGGAAAAAGACACTGACTCCCCATAAACATAAAACTACAGGAAAAACCCGGCACACCTCTCCTGAAAGACACTCCAGCAGAATACAATAAACAGGTATTTTCAGTAGGAAGAAATGCTAAAAGCCATTTAAAAAAAAAACTGATTTAATTGGGTAGAAAAAAGCATAGTCGCATTTTTTGTTTAACAACCAGCATACACAATTACCTGCTCAATATCCAACTTCATGATAGCCTTCTGAAGATATCTCACACCACCATGGATCAATTTAGTGCTTCTGCTGCTGGTCCCTGATGAGAAATCATCTCTTTCTACAAGGGCTGTTTTTAGTCCTGTGTAACCAGAAAACCAAATTAACTTCTTAAATTACACAATTTGTATGTAATTCATTAAAGGCACTTCTCCAGGGTAGAGACAATCAGAAGAAAAATTACTCTGAACATGGATAAATTTGTATTCAAAGTGCAGTACACTGTCTATATTATAATGAAGAGATTTTAGTCTCTTCCTGGGGGAAAAGTCAAACCAGAACTAGAAGCATATTAAACTGTGAATGAATCACAACTAGAAGATATTACAGTGCAATTTCATGGCAGTAACATACTCTGGTGCGCTCAGAGGGTCGAAGGGGAGCCCCATTTTATCCATGTAGAGTTAACCCAGTGCTTCGAACCCTTCCGGAGCTCACATTCACCCCTCATCACAAGAGTCCAGACGTGCCAGCCCCTCATGTCCAGTCAACTCCAATGCATCAACTGTAAACCTAGAATACCCCCCTTGTGCCGGGGCTCCTCTTTCTGGAGCGGTGTGAGAGTGGGTATCAATGGGAAGAGAGATTAAAGACATCAAAACTGAAGAAGAAAGGAGAGAATAACCTCTGATATTGGGGAGTTTATAGTCTAACTAAGGACAAGCAAGCACAATATTGTAGAATTACAAAGAAAATAGAAGCCAGGACAGATGAACCCAGTATAGACTATCTGTGAGTAAAGAAAGGCAATATTTTTGGTAAAGATGAGGCTGAACAAAGGCAGGTCTGTTCTAGAAATCATCCCTCTACTGCCCCTTTCTTTGAGGGGTGCAATAATTCTCTTGGGAATGAGAAACCTTTTGTTTTGTTTGTTTTCTTACAGAGACACCCCTGCCTCCTCAGAGTGGGGTAGGACCAACAGCATTATGGGTCCCATCCATTATGAGTTAGAGATGAAATCCAACGCTTCAAAAGACCCAAAGCGTACATCAACACCAAGCCAGAGGGAATTTTCATGGCCTGGCCTACTCTTGGGGGATGAGAGAATGTCATACATAGAATCCAATTACAATGCGAATATGTAACTGGAGCAGTTTGGGCTCACAAAGCTCATATAAGAGAACCTGTGCATATATTCAACTCAGAGCCATTTATTACATTTAATACCAAAGGGTCGTTTTTATAACTTTTAACACTTTGAATATCGTACCCAAATGTCATCATAAAATCAGGGCAATTCCCTTGACTCAAAAGGACAAAATATTTAGAAACTGTGGAGAGAAAAGTAGAGACTTTGATTCAAGGGCAAAAACTGTTAATGCTCTAATGAACTAGCAAAATAACACAGAAATTATCAGCATCATAGACCCAGGTCACTCTTGTGAAGCATTTATGCCAGTAAAAGATCTGCAAAATTCTCAACTAGCAACGCTCCGTAAATTTAGTGTGGGATATATTAAAAACACAGAAGAGTGTATCACGTTTGTGAGCGCCTTAGTGTTAGGCAAAGTGCTGATGTTAGAAATGAAATAGGTGAGGACCAAGGTGTCAAGCAGCTCCCAGCCCAAAGACAGGCCAGTAAACAGAGCGAAGCAAAGTTTCATAGGCGCTACATTTGAAAACGCAGAGGACTCCTATCTTAAAGCGGGTTAAAAATTAAATTCAAGACATCAACCCAAAATGGTTTAGTCGAGATTACATTTGCAATCTCTTAAGAATGCAGTCTTGGTGAGCTCTACCACCTTTTCTTAGTAAGTCCAGCACAGAGAGTTCTTCTTCCAGCACTAAAATATGCCATTTTTTCCTCAGTTGAAGATCAGATGAGGGAGTTGACTTTCAAATGGCATTTAAGAGCCAGATTATTTCAAAGACACCTCTCTTCCAATCTTGGAATCAGTCACGGCATTAAGATGCCCACACCACGAGAGGCAGGGACATAAGACTGAGACGAGGATAAGCAGCCTCCCATCCAGCCCGTGGCTCCCACTCACCAAAGGTACTCAAAGGTGGTGGGAGATGTCTTAGACAGTCCTCAATTATCCCCACTTCATAGTACGTAATCCCCTACCCTGGAGTGGGGGCTGGACCTAGTGCCTTGCTTCTAACCAACAGAATGCAGCAACAATGATGGGAGGCCACTTCTGTGGTTAGGTTAGGAGGTTTTTAAATTGTACGTGGGGATGCAGTCTTTGAGAAAGGCTGAGTCTACAGAGAAGGATGTGTTCAAATGGATGGAAAGGAGGAGGGAGGGAGTTACCACAGGCAAAAAGCAGCTTAAGCAAGAGAAGGGCAAATGATAGAAATGGCCCAGCTTATTCGGGGTCTGATTGTCACTCAGGGGCTGGAGTGCACAGTACAGAGACTATGTGAAGGAGATCCAGTGGGAGGAACGGTAAAAAGCAGATCACAAAGGGCCTTTCATCCACACTGGTGCATCTGGACCCTGTCCTGGGGGCCACCGTTTCTCACAAGTAATGTCTGGACCTCCTCGAAAGGAAAATGCCTCCAAAACCAGGCAAGTCATGGATCAGTTTGAGAAGCAAATGCTTCATTAAAAAGTACGAGATTCGGTACCAACACCAATAAGCCAGGCCTTAAGGACGGTACTCAGTTACAAGTATCCATCTGGAGGAACAGGGGTGTGCTTGTTAATTTTTTATCATTTTCAAAAAGGAATCAAATTTATATTTTGCCAGAGGTTCTCAGATATTGTTTTGAGAGATACTACCGTGCTGCCTATCAGGGAACCACCAAAATGTTTAAAGCTGAGAAATCAGGTTAATGTTCTAGAAAGATTTCTCTGATTGTGAGGGTGGAGGTGGGCCTGGAGGCACGGGGACCCTCCAGAGGACCAGTGCCACACAGCATGAGGGGGGCGATGAAGACCCCAGCCTCACGAGGCACAGGACAGTACTGGAGAGTGACAAGAAGAGAGAATGTTACAGGCTTGTATTATGAGGATGGATTTTTGTTTTTCTTTCCAAAGACTGACACAGTGTGAGGCAGGGAACTACTCTAGGAACTAGCAAGCCATCTCAGGAGGATATTTCAGGATATTTAAGTGAGAGCTAACACTTTAAAGCCTCAAAATTGCTTTTGCAAGAATTGGACATTTAAAAAAGTTATTCACATGTACTTATGTGAGAAACCCTACTGAATACCAACAAAAGTTAAAATGGGCTCTTCGGTCAAACCAGGCTGTCTTTTTCTTATCCCATTATTTCTAGTGTCATATTGTCAGGCAACCCACCAGAATTTCTGAAGAGAAATGATACTGCTCCTTCCAGAGCAAAAATAAAATAAAATAAAATAAAATAAAATAAAATAAAATAAAATAAAACTTTAGTCTCTAAAGTTATAGCTAAACTGATATATTAAAGTACCATGTAACCTAAAAGTACCACCAAAAGTTTTCAGAACCACACACAGAAAAATAGAAACTCTAAAAAAGAAAACATTTTAAAATGTTCAACTGTGCATATACTAAATGTTCTGGATTTCTCGTTTTTGTTGGATGTGAATGATGGAATGAGGAAGAAGGAAAGTAATGCAAAATCAAGTCATTATTAGAAGTCATAACCACCCCTTCCTTAACTGATAAACTACAGCAAAGACAACGACATTTTTTAAAGCCTTATAGTGCTCTTGCACAGTTCTGTTACCCAATGTGTTCCTTTCTGCTTCACCTCTCAAAAGTCCAAATTTTCTCCCCTCTAATCTGAAATTAAGATCTTTTTTTTGTTAAGTATAAACCAAGGAAGTGAAGAGAGAGTGCTATTTTATTTCCTCAGAGAGAATAAACAGCATTTTTAAGTGACATTCAATGCTAACATTTTGCATCTTGGGTAAAATAAGATTGAAGGTGATCAAAAATAATGTACCCAGCTCAGCCACAAAAAGAATGAAACAATGCCATTTGCAGCAACATAGATGGACCTAGAGATTATCACACCTAGTGAAGTAAGTCAGACAGAGGAAGACAAATATTACATGATATCACTTATATGCGGAAACTAAAAAAATAGTACAAATGAACTTATTTATAAAGCAGAAAGACTCACACATAGACAACAAACTTACGGTTACCAAAGGGGAAGGGGAGGGGACTAACTGGGAGTATGGGATTAACAGATGCACACTACTATATGTAAAATAGATAAGCAATAAGGATTTACTGAATAGCCCAGGGATCTATATTCAATATCTTGTAATAAACTATACTGGAAAAAATCAGAAGAATATACATATATACATATAACCAAATCACTTTGCTGTGCACCTGAAAATAACAATATTGTAAATCAATTTTACTTCAATGTAAAAAAATAACAAAGTAATAAATAATAAATAATAAAAATTATGAGGCACCTAAAAAAATAATAATGCTTCAAGCAACTGTGCCTGGATGTGCATTTGAGGCACTGGGGAAGCTCCTTCCTCAGAGTAGAAAGAATGACTTCCCCACATGCCCAGCAGTGAAGGGCTGGCCTCTCTGTACATTTAAAATAATTCACTAAACTTGTTAAAGACTTTATGAGGAATAGTTTGTTTCTTTTCTTTTCGAAGTCACTTTTTATGAAAAACAATACATTCTATCACTGCTGAGATGAACTAGATCATTTAGGAGTGGTATGATTATTTGATTTTTTTGCTTTTATAATTGATTGCTTTTAGTAGGCATCCTCAGGAATTTCACAGCAGTGGTAAAGCATTAATATTTGGAGTGAGGCAATGCTGAAATTCCTAGGTGGAATAACAAGATTAGTTAGAGCAGAAGAAGAAAGTCAACTTGAAATCTACCTTACAGTCATCTTCAGCCCATCTCTTAGCAAGTTAAAACTGTATCTTCTGGGTGGGGGGGCCACGGTGTGAACTAAACACAGCTCTTCACAGATTTGCCTTTTCTGCCCTGAGTAAGAATGTCTAGCCAGCAGGCACATCCAACTAAACCAACTCATGGATCAAGACAGTTGGATAAATACAGAGGGAGAACTACTATCTAAGGGGAGGAATGGTACGACATTTAACTTTCACAACATGAAGTAGAACAGAAGTGTATTTTAATACCTTTTACTGATTATC